GAGTGGCATCTTTCTTCTGTTCCTATCTGTGTTCTCTGCTATTGCTTATTTTGTTTACATTCAGGAGAAAGTAAGGATTAATTGTCTCTCCACTTAAGAACACCAAAATCCTGTCTCTTTTTCTTACATCAGGAAGATCTTTTTTTGAAATTTTGATTTTAATTGGAGGACAACTGACAACTGTTTTATAGTGCTGTGCTGGTTTCTGCCTCACAACAACATGAATCAGCCATGAGGATGCAAGGAAGAAAATATTAAAATCTAATTTGCTTCTGAGAAAGAAAGTGGGCCATTGTCCTTTCCTTCTCTCTTTTGCCTATTCCTGTTCATCATATAGCCATTTATTTGGCAACTGGCATCTTCAGGAAGTTTAACTGTCAAAACTCTGTATGAATTTAATTTATTACTTTAAAAAGAGGAGCAAAGTGTTTTGAAGAAAAAACAAAATATCACAAAATTATTTAAAAGTAAACAAGATGAATGAAGCAGAGGAAGAGCTCACCTCAAGGGGCCTAAATTCCCCTAATGTTATCTTGAAATATTATATTCTGAATAAACACCTTCACCTTGTTATAGATATTCTAAGAGCCTGACCATATTGCAAAGCCAAATGCTAAATTTGCTCATAAGTATAAAAGTGAAAGTTTCAGTCGCCCAGTCGTGTCCAGCTCTTTGCAATCCCATGGCTCCTCTGTCCATGGGATCTTCCAGGCAAGAATACTAGAGCAAGTAGCCATTTCCTTCTCCAGGGGATCCTCCCAATCCAGGGGTCAGACCCTGGTCTCTTGCATTACAGGCAGATTCTTTACTATCTGAGGCACAAGGGAAGCCCCACAAGTATGTCTGTCATTTATAAAAGCACTTTTGGAAGACAGTTTTGAAATATTTTCAAGATGAAAATCTAAGAGTGACAAAATGCTAATTCACCTTAACTGAGTAGTGAAAGTCGCTCAGTCGTGTCCGACTATTTGTGACCCAATGGACTATCCAGTCCATGGCATTCTCCAGGCCAGAACACTGGAGTGTTCTTTCCCTTCTCCAGGACCTTAACTGAGTAAGTAACATACGATTCAAAGGCAGGATAGAAAGGTTGTGTTGACCAAGTGACACTCAGTAAACACCAACTGAAAGATGCTGAAAGATATTCTGAAAGAAGAAAATATCTTAGAGATACACACAATTTTGAACTAAATCTATTCTTCTGTATAATAGAATTTGATATCTGAAGCAGAAAATAATATTGAGGAGATTAACATTCTCTGTCCCTTGATAATTTTGCTTATTTGTATCTTCACATACATAGCTAAAGCTGTAGAAACTGCCCCCAAGAAAATTTTATTTGAATCTATAAATGACACTTTTATTATTTAGCTACTCAAAGCAATTATGATAATAAGTAGTACTTTAAGTATCACTTAAATAAAGCACTATGATAATATAATATGGAATAAAAAAGCACAAAGTACAGAAATACAACATAATCTTCTTTAGTTATTAAAGATCAGTCAAATACTATCAATGAACTATTCAACCACTTATTTAAGAGTGTCAAAATATCATTATTAGGCACAGCAATAATCTGGTCACTTAAGAAGTATAGAATATTATACTAGAATTCCTTCTGTAAAGGTAGATGATAAAAAACTCAGAAGCCCTTTGCCTTTGAACCATTTTACCCATTCCAAAGTAAAATGATTCCCCATCAATTGGGTTTGGCCATTCCAGTAACAACTACTTTAGCCTGTCCTACGCAACTGTTCATTTAAATTTTATACTCTTACTTGTAAACATAATACACTTTTGAGGAATTAAACTTCCTCAATACGACAGTGAACCAGCTACCTACAATACTGAACTAAAAATACTGTAATCAAAGAATATCATAGCACAATACCTATTTCATGGTGGAAGTAATCCAGCAGTTATTATTCACTCATTTATTTATTTAACATCTAGCTATTGAGCTCTGCCTATGGTTAAAGAGACTGGAGGAAAACCATAGAACATGGCATCCTGGAAGCTACAAGCACAGAATGTTCAAAGAGAGAGAACTCAACTCTATCAAATAATGTGAAGACATCAAGTAAGATAAGGACAGACACCTGGCCATTAGACGTGATTTAAAAGGAGGATACTGATCACAATAAACAGATTTCAGTGAGCTCTGGGTCTGGAAATCTATTTAGAGTCGATCTCAGTTGGTCTCAGAAGGGGATATAGAAATATGGAAATAGTGCTTCCAGTTACTGTGAAGGGTAGAGAAAAATGGGGTAGAATCAGGAAGGGGGTAAGAAGCCAAGGTAAATACTAGAGTAGATATGAATGCTGATGAGACTCAATCAGTGCAAAAGAAGAAATTGATGATGTAGCAATTAAACATGTTTAACTGCTGGAGAAAGTCTTGGAACAAGTAAGAGGGGATGGCACCTGAAATACAAGCAGAGACATAACCCTTAGACAAGAATAGGAACTTTCCAACCCACTGCAATAGGAGGGACACGGAGTGTGAGCTTATGTATTAGTACCAATAGTTTGGTAAATTTTAGAGTAGACAGTGAAGGGTTATTCCGGGACTAGACAAAGAACACATCCACATTACAGGATATCAAAGCTAATGGACATGAATTATGTAAGTATACATTTCTATTATCATCTTAGAGAATAAGACAGTCTAGAGAGGCATTTGAGGATATATCTTAGATATTGCTTTGTCTGACTGAAAATCTGATTCATTCATTTCTCCCCATTATGTCCTTGTATAGTGAGGATGTGTGACTCACCAGTTTGTTCATTATACAATGCTAACAGATAAGGAGCCAAACTTGGAATATGTCTTCTTTGGCAAGTTTTATCCAACATCTTAGTTTTCTCTGATTTTTTTCCAGACCTCTAGGCTACATCTCACAGTATAATCAGTATTCATTCATTGCATATTTATTCCCTACTTGTACTGTCTCAAATAGAGACAAAGATGAAACCAAATATTTTACAATAAAATAACACTGTTTCTTGCTCTGTGAAAATCCTAGTATTAGATATAAAGTAGGCACCTAATAAATGCCTGCTGCATTTATCTTTCATCTCTTCAGAGTAGAATGACTGATTAAAAGTTTTATGCAGAAATTGCTTGGAATATGCATAATTTCTTCATGGCATCTGTTGGGTATTGCTTGGAGATGCTGAAATCAATTTTGCCCTTTACATGCTATTCAATTAGTTTGTTTAGGGCAAGGTCTAGAATGTGTATCAGTCAGAAGCACAATAGTGAGCCAAGTACAAGAACTTCCTACTAAGATTTGTACCCACTATCTTAGGGAAAGAACTCTGATTCTAAAAAAGTATTCAAGTGTAGGTAGGTTTAAGTAGAATTCAATATTAAAGACTGAGAACTACCCAGTGCTACTCTTTTTGCGTCAAGTAAAGAATCTACCTGCAATGCAGGAGACCCAGGCTCAATCCCTGGGTCTGGAAGACTCCCTGGAGAAAGGAATGGCTATCCACTCCAGTATTCTTGCCTGGCAAATCCCATGGACAGAGGAGCCTGGCAAGCTGCAGTCCATGGGGTTACAGAGTTGGACATGACTGAGTAACTAACAATTTCACTTTTACTTCTTTAGTGAAAAAAATATTTGTAAGAGAACACTGATCAGTACAGCCTATTCTGGACTGTCTTAGAATGTTTTCTTCAGTGCAGACTGAAAGCAAATTTTAAATATAAAGGTGTCTAGTTTGTTAAAATAAGTGAAGCCTAAGTTTAACTCCAAATTTAATTCCCAATTCTTAAGTGAATTAAAGCTAGTCATTATATTTATTTTTTTAGATATCCCATATTTAAATCAAAATGAAAATATCACTCACATATATTTTTCTTTTAAGAAGGAATCATACCATAAGACTATATTGACCTTTAATTTTATCCAACAGGTTACCATGGAAAGTTAATGAATTAGCAACTAGAACAGCATTTAAAAACCAAAGGTCCCAGATATTACACTTGGCAGTCAATAGAACTCCAAGGAAGACAATGATTATATTTACTGTAAATTTTGTCACTCTATAAAATAAAGTGTATAGAATGAACTCTTCCATTTTTCCATGCTATATGCATATTGGCAATTATCTAATGAAATGTATCAAGAGACTTAGAATTTTAAACTGTATGAAAACCTTCACCAAAACCATCAGTAGAAATACATTTTCAATGGAATCCCATAGCACTAGGCAATATACATAGATAGACTCTTTTAAAATCATTTGCTGTATAAAATATTTTAATATTTTAGCCATTTAATAAATTCCATAAGATGCATGTGCATATATAAGATTTCTATTTGTCAATACTTACAACTAAAAACCTGATAATAACAGAGTCACCATGTCTATAGGTAAGAAATATTAAATCTGTTTAGCTATTATTCTAGGTTTCTATTTATTTCTCACTAACTTACATGGATTTTTATATTATTTTTACTCAGACCACATATTAGATTCTAACTAGCAGTAAAATGGCAAAGTTTACATTGTTCATTAAAAAAATACATAGACTTATTTTTAAATTAACCAATAAACTATGATCCATTATTTGTTTTTGTAGGTTTTTGATGGGAGAGAAAACACATATTAGTCAGGGATTTCTTTTTAATCACCAGGAAAAAAAGATAACACAACTCTTTCTCTTAAAGCATTTTCCCCCCATGGAGGCAATATACCCTAAAATGGAAGCTATTAAGCAATCAATGACACAGACTTAACTAAAATATTGCAAATATGATAGTATAATACCTTAGTAAATACGAGAATTTTGAAAGTCATAAAATTAAAGACTTTGATATGTATAAGTTCAATAGACGTGACTTATCACTATTTAATACGAGCTTTAATTTTTAAATGTCATGTCCCAGTGAAAAAATTAACTGCACAGGAAAATTGAAATTTCAACAAAGAATCAAGACAAAAAAACAAACTTTATATTAAAGTAACTTTAAGAGGTATATACTTACGCAGCAACCTCCTCTTTTGACAATCCTTTGAAATTCACCTCCAGATAATGATCTATGTCATCTTTTTGTTTGATCAGTTCAGACCTAAATGAAATGGAAAGAAATAATAAAGAACTGCCTTATCGAGGTGAAAAGCTACCAAACATATAAAATGCCACCGGGAGAACAGGAATATTCTGGGTGTAATATCTTAGATAATAAATGTTTTGTAAGAGCTATAGAGTTAGGCTATTCATTGATAATTTCAAATATTTTACTTCCTTGAATGGGAAAAGGGAAGAATACTGAACTCAGTGTGTAAACAAATAAAACACAACACACTAAAATAGTCTACATTCTTAAATAAATGGGCTTTTCTCCTCAAAACTTTTAAGATCTTCCATTTTACTTATGTTCTCTTACAACCTTCCAGCTACAGAAGCCAGACTGTGTTCAGCACAGTATCGTGAACTAAAAAGCCCCTATTTGATACAAATGTGTTGAATTTATTGGTTGAAAACATGATAGAATTTTGCTCTGACATTCTTTTTGAGTGGTTTTTAAAAATCACACATAAAACTCAAATTACTATTAAAAGTTCAAGCTGAAAGTGATTTTAAGAAGACTTTAATAACTATATTACACAAGTAATATATTCATTCTTCATACCCCTTGCACCTTTAAAAATAAGCAGACTATTAACATATTATGACAACTGAAGTACAGGATACACAAGTATCTCTTTTTTTCAGAAGCTAATGGAGAATGTTGATTCAAAAATTTGCCTTAAATGGTTATGATAAAAATGTTTTTCTTTAATAAAAAGAAGTCAAAATTTTTTTCTTTAAAATCTGTCTTATCCAAGGGATATGATACTGAGTTATGTTTTTGCTCATGCTGAAAAGAAAATGTAAACTCAGTTATTACAAAATGACAGGAAGAAGCAGCTAGCTTTTTCAGATTTTGCAAATATTTCACATTATTCAAAAGGAAAATGGAAAATAAGAATGTATACACTGAAGTTATGCCTCTATCGAAAATGTTGCTTTTCAAATTATTTGAAAGTAAACATAATTTTCTGCAATTCTATTTTACAGTTTCTACAAATTTTGTTTCTATTACAAAAGAACTTCGGTGCCAGTTTAGCTGAATGTATTTATTTTGGTCCAGGGGTTTTGGTCTCTGCCAGAAATACCAAAAATGAGGTAAGGTCCTTCTTTGAACAAAGCAGTCTCATAATACTTTGATCATTATGCCTTGTAGGAATTGAAAGGCATGCATAAAAAGATAATCAAACCTACATATGTAAATTATTTATGTTGATAAATAATATGTGCATTACTAAAAATCAATAAAACTAGAAGTGGAAACTTCTAAGTAACACAGCCTTAGTTAATATGCATAATTACAATCAAAAGCATCAAGTTCTGCCCTGCAGGTTTTCGGCCCATGTCGAAAACTCCCTGAATTCAGCCGCCATTCACAGGCAGAAGAGGTTTGATGTATTTTCAAGCTCTAGGATCATTTCAGGAGCTAAATCAAGCCTGCTCCTTTACCCTGGGAGTAAGACTGTGTCTTCCTTCCTCCAAAACAGAAATCAGGATCGGGATCTTGAGGTTTAGATGCCATACAACTTTCATGCCTAAAGCTTCTGCTTTCAATTTTTCCACACACATTTTAAAAAGGAAATGTATTTCCAAAGCTTTGCAGGAACCACACTATAATGGCAGTAGGAAATAAAATAACCAAATGAGCACTTGCCTACTAAATAAATATATTCTTAATCTTTGAATAAAATTTATCAATCTTTCTGAAACAGGAAATTTGAATATTCTGAATATAAAAATGTACTTTTGTCTTTAAACAATTTTTATTGCTGAGATATGTTACTGACATTTCTTACTGCAAGAAATTTCTTCTGTAGGGAAAAAAAAAAAGAAAGCAAGCCAGGGTCACGTACCTTGGAATTGTTCTTGGTGAGCATGGCAGCTTCTGTCTAGCCAAGGTCGTAAGCTTTGGGCGTGTCATGGGCAGCGGGGGCAGGGTAGTCATTTTGGACTGCCAAAAAAAATAAATAAACAGAAACGGTATTTTAAACAGTAAATCATTCAAAGAATCTTTTAAGACATTATTAGAGATCTAGTCAGCCATCTGAGCTGAGAATGCCTCTGCGTGTAGATCTATAGCTCTGTTATTCAGGCATGAAGCTCAGTGAGTGAATTCTGCAGGTTGCTTCTCTCATTATTTTTCTTACTATCTGCCTTTTGGCCAATTTATTACTTGTCTGCATCTCCATCACAAAGTAGAAAAGAGAAAATCTGATAAATGTGTTGAAGATTCAGACAATTAGGAGCTTTGGTACAGGTTTTGTTAGTAGAGCTGGTTGCAATTAAAAAGTGAAGATTTTTAGGGCAGCTATGGATTTCAAATACTCATGCTTTGCTCTCCTGTTACAAATAATAACTAAAAATTGTTCATACTTTGCTGTTTTCTAAAAACTTTCTCACAAATAAAGGCTTTCCCTTAGAAGTGCTAAATGCTAAGAACAATTCCCAATGAGGAGACAGCTGGGCATATATCTGGAAAAGATGAAAATTCTAAATCAAAAAGAAACATGTGCCCCAATGTTTGCAGCAACACTATTTACAAGGACTAGATGCAGAAGCAAACTAAATGCCTATTGAGCAAAGAACGGATAAAAAAGATAATATTCCATACACAATGGAATATTACTCAGTCATAGAAAAGAATGAAATAATTTCATTTACAGCAACAATGGATGGACCTAGAGATTATCATACTAAGTGAAGAAGTCAGACAGAGAAAGACAAATATCATATGATATCACTTATATATGACATATGTGGAATGTGGAATCTTTATATGTGGAATCTTTTTAAAAACTACACAAATTACCTTAGTTACAAAATAGAAATAGACTCACAGATGTGGTAAACAAACTTATGATTACCAAAAGGGAAAGGGGGAAGGGATAAATCAGAAATTTGCGATTAACAAATACACATTACTACATATAAAATAAATAACAAAATCTACTGTGTGGCACAAGGAACCATATTCAATATCTTGTAATGACCTTTACTGGAAAATAATTTTGAAAAAGAGTATACATATATTACGTGTATACAGGGAATTCCCTGGTGGCTCAGATGGTAAAGCGTCTGCCTGCAATATGGGAGGCCCAGGTTCAATCCCTGGGTTGGGAAGATCCCCTGGAGAAGGAAATGGCAACCCTCTCTAGTACTCTTGCCTGGAAAATCCCATGGACAGAGGCTACAGTCCACGGGGTTGCAATGAGTCAGACATGACTGAGCAACTTCACTTCACTTCATACGTATATTCAGATATATATATATAACTGATCACTTTGCTATATGCTTGAAACATTGTAAATTAACTATACTTCCACTTAAAAATGTAGTGGTTTAAAAAAGATTGCTTAAAACAACAATCAATGTATTACCTTTCATTTTACATGGGTCAGGAGTCAGGAGAAGGCACAGTGGGGATAGCTTTTCCCTACTCCATTTTGACTGGGGTCTCTGCTGAGAAGACTCAAAAGGTTAGGGGGTAACTCAGTGGTGGGAAACAGGAACTACCTATAAGGTCTTCACTCACATATCTGGTGGTTAATGCTATTAGCTGGGACCTCAGCTGGGGCTATCTATCAGAACACATATATGTGACCTCCTCAGATGGCTTGGGCTTCCACTTAGCAGGGCAGCTCATATTTCTTAAGTGGCTGCTCAGGGCTAGAAAGGCAAGTGCCCAAAGAAAAGCCAAGTGGAGGCTGTATTCCCAGGGTCTGACTTTGGAAGTCACACAGCATCACTTCCATTGTAAAAACAAGCTGACTAGATTTTAAGGCTAATCAAATAGACTCACCCACTGATGGGAAAGCATTGAAGTCACATTGTAAGAGGAAGGTGTGGGATGGAAGATATTGTTGCAGCCATCTTTGGGAAGTGCAATATGCCACAATGGAGAAAGTAAGTGAGCCATAATGACGGTGGATCTGTAAAATCAAGTTATCTAAATCTTACTCCAAAGAGGAAGTGTGGTGGGCATGATGCTGATGGACTTATAGTGGAAAATTGTCACATGTTGCAAGCACTTTCAGATACAACAGACCTCACCCTTCTCCTGTTGAAGAGGCATTCAGAAGACAAGAGCCTCTTGATTCCACCACCACTGTCTCCATAGGTTTTGACCTCTACCATTTGACTTCTACCTCTACCATTATGGGTCACATACTCATAAACAAGGCTTGTTTCAGGTTCTAAATCACTTCCTCCAGTATTTATTATCCATGTGACCTAGGGTAAATCACCATCAATCTGGGCCTTAAATATAATCAACAAATATGCATTAAGCTACTACTTAGTGCCAGGTACTATTTTAGGTGCTGAAGATGAGGCAGTGAACAAAAGGACAAAAATCTATAACCTCACAGAATCTACATTATAGAGTCGGTATGGTGGGGAAACAGACAATACACAAACAAGCAAAAATAACACAGAAGATCAGATGATGATGGGCTCTATAGCTGAAAATCAAGCAGGGAACTAGAAAGTACCCAGTGCTCACCAGTAGCCAGGGATGAATAACAGCAAAAAAATATGACATCAGAGAAGTTAAGGAGAAATTTGGTGGTGTTCTGATGATACAGGGTCTTGAAGATTACCGTATAAAACTATGACTTTTACTCTGATTGGAGGGTATGAGCCCAGGAGTGACACAGTTTAACTTCTACCTTGAAAGGATTACTCTGGCATCTCTTTTGGACTTAGACTCTAGGGGGCAGAAAGGAAGACATGGAGACCAGCTGGAGGTTGCTACGAAATCCGGATGACAGAGGATGGTGGTTTAGGTAGAGGTGGAGAGATATGGTCAGACTCAAGGTAGAACTGCCTACGGCCTGCAGAGACAAGGTATTCCTCTAGTGCTGTGTTCAAAGCCATGGCAAGATGGAGGGTGGAAAAACAATGAGATTTGAGGAAAAACCTTTTGAAATTCAGTGTAGAAATAGGCAGTCTAGTGTTTCTGAAAGAAAAAAAAAGATCATTACCTTGGCCTGAAAATAATTATTTGCTTAATAAAGAGAAAATTCTAATGGAGATAAGTGTCGTGTGTGTGTGTGGTCAGTCATGTCTGACTTTTTGTGACCCTTTGTACTGTAGCCCGCCAGTCTCCTCTGTCCATGGGATTCTCCAGGCAAGAATACAGGGGTGGATTGCCATTTCCTCCTCCAAGGGATCTTCTTGCCCCAAGGATCAAACCCGCATCTCCTGTGTCTCTTGCACTGCAAGTGATTCTTTACCACTGAGCCATTGGGGAAGTCTACAGAAACCTAATATTGCCCAGATTATTAGTGCATGATATGATCCATGAAACAAAAGGTCTACTTATTTTTATACAGTTATAGTTTTAAAGCACTCAGGCTAAATAGCAAATGTCAGCCCTCTCTTTCAAAACAAACATTTAAAAAACATAATGATTTACATGCCATAACTTCATAAGAAAGTTACTTAACTTTTTGTATTTAAAAATTTGTATTTTTCTGATCAGATGTTATATCAGCTTGTTGAGTTAACTGGATAAACAGAACTTACCAAATGACAATATTGTATAGAACATGTAGTAAGAAGTTAAAACTAAGGCAGAATTAGACCTGGTGGACAGATTTAAAGGGCAAAGGCTCCCCAGTCCTACTCCTTGTGAGCCTGTTTCAGAGAAGCTGTGAAGACTCTACATTGCAGAGTCCTCTGCTGTTACGGAGCAAATCAGAGCAAATCTGGGCCATCTCAGCTCTTAACCCAGACCTGTCTGCCCCCAGGGGGTTTGGAAAGGGAAAGAAAGGAAGCCTGTGCTTAATTCAGTCTGGACATTCCTTCCCTGACAAATTAAGACTCTGTTCTGAGAGCCCCTACTTTGCTTACCAAAGGCACAGGGCAGAGGTGATCTCTGCATAATCGTAGGGACCTTTGAAGGGTTTCTCAAGGAGCTTCAAACAAGAAAAAGGTACTTGTAATTTCTTCAAACACTAGGAAGGCCCAGACGCTTGTACACAGTGGGACCAAATATACTTCCCAGGTGGCACCAGTAGTAAAGAACCCATCTGTCCATGCAGGAGACATAAGAGATGCAGGTTCAATCCCTGGGTTGGGAAGATCTCTTGGAGAAGGGAATGGCTACCCACTCCAGTACTCTTGCCTGGAGAATCTTATGCACACAGGAGGCCAGTGGGGCTACGGTCCATGCAGTCACAAAGAGTCAGACACGACTAAGCAACTTAGCTTGCACACAGAGGGAGCAAACCCCAGAAACTCAGTTCCACCTCACATATTCCATCAAGGCGTGTATAAGCCTCCAAAGAGCTGGCCTACCAGGTTGCGATATAAAATTAATCCTCACTGATGTTTACTTGAGTTAGACCATTTTTGCTAGAAAATACAAGCATCTAATAAAATCTCATACACATGTTAGACATGGAAAGGAACATGTCTTGTCACAAAGATCAACTGCGATTTTTTTTTTAAATCTGAGTCAACGTTTCCAACCATTAAAGTTTCAGCTGCCAGTTCCTTCATTTTGCTCTCCTCTGATCTAAGAACATTAGCAGCAGGAGCACCTTTACTCTTAAATTTAGTTTAATGTAAGTATTGCAAGCCCTGCTGGCAAGCCTCAAGGCACAACTCTGAATGGGGGGTGGTCAGAGCTGAATGATAAAGTGGAAAAAAATTATTAACTGTGTGTTGGAAAAAATATCCCTCAACCAATCTATGTTGAAAGTTTAAGCTCAGAGTTAGGGTGGAATGTGTGGGCTCCCTTCGCTGCTCTAAGCCCCATATCCTCCCTAGCCTATACCTGTTGGGCAAGGGGGTTTTGTTTTTCACAATCCATACATGGCTATGTAAAGATATTTTGTTTTACATACTACGTAGCTGTTGAACCGAATTTTATGACACACATAATATTTGAAATGCATCAAATATGTAAAAGGATCCTGTAACATATGATTTTCCTATCTAAGTAATCACCATCTCTTTTATGTCTGACCAGTTCAGTCTTATTTCTGCTGAATGTTCTTAGAGTAGGAAATAGGTGCATTTTAGCACATAGAAGCAAACCAAGGGGAAAATAAGTGAGAAAAAATGCAAGCACACTTAGGGGCCTGTCATTTCAGGCTGAAATCATACCCGTTGGGTGAAGAAAGCCTTTTGTACTTTGTTAATATGAACGGTATCATTTTCCTGGTGTGGACTAGAGAGTATTCCCTGCTTTCTAGTGGGCTCCAGCCAGGAGTAATGGGACTAGTGCTGGGAGTGGCTGATCTAGGCCTGAAGCAGAAATGGAACACATCATGCTTCACAACTGACACTTCATCATGGTCCTTGTAGTTCCACACCACACAGGAAATCACACATGGTGGTGCTACCTCGGGACGGGTACCTAAGGGAGAATGATGAGTGGTACTTCCCTGGCTGGTACCCAGATGAGCCTAGCCCTAGGAGGACGGGGTGAAGCTGTCTGTTAGGGAACCCAGAGGCAGCTCCCCCAGAGCTACCAAATGGGCAGTGTACTCCAGGCACCACAGGCACTGAGACAAAGATCAAAAGGCTGCCTTAAGCCATTCCACTGCTGGTATTCAGAGGAGATTTGGTGGATTCTTTGATATCCTGGTTGGCTCCCGTATCACAGTTACAATCTCTAAGTTTGGCCCCCACATGCAAAGACAAACGAGATTGGAGAAATGCAGGATGAAAGGTTTGAGAGGGGTGGATCAGGCTGAATGTGTCCCACGGTGTGAGTTTAAGTTTCTGGCCCCCAAGTAAAATTCTTCAAAGAGGAACCCTCTTTTCCCCACAATCCCCAGAGATACCCTTATCAAGAAACACAAAGGAAGGGGAAGCCTAGAGTTGTATAGACACAGGCTACCTGGGGAGTAACTATGTTTGAGGCTGACCACAATCTCCAGAATTCAGTCACCTTGGGGGGAAAAGCTGAAATGTGAGAAATAAAACCAATAAAGACACAGCAAGCAAACGCATCATGTGTCATCAAGAGAGTTCAAAATAAATATGATTTTACTATCATCAACAAGATCATCAATAAGAATTGGAACTTTTCATATTATCACAAGCTCTTTTACTATGAAAGTTTAAAGAAAACTACAGAAGAAATGTCAGTAATCTGCTCCTGAAAAAAGTAAAAAAAAAAAACTCACATAAAATAAAAAGTCAGTAAATGTTTATCCCTTGTATTTTTGGACACATTTAGCATTCTATGATAGGTAATTTGATTGTTAAATAAATAGAAACCACACATTTCCTGCTAACTAACATGTGTTCATAGTTAAATCAAAACTTGAAGCAGGAAAAGTGTTTGAAAGTGGGCCATGTTTCACTCGACTTACATTTGGAGATTACTGCTGAAGGTCTCTCCAGGTTTACAGACTTCAGCCTGAAAATTTGGAAGCAAAGAATAATGGCAAAGGAGAGAAGAGAAAAAGTTAAAAATTAGTCAACAGACTAACTCACTAACTCCCCTCACTGCTCCAAATCATGGAATAAGATTTATTCATACCACAAAACACCAGGTATCTACTTGTAGTTATATAAACTTAAAAAAAAAAATCCTGCTGTGATAGCTGACTTATTACATCAATGATTAAAGATGCAAACCATTAAAAAAAGAAAAACAACCAACCCAAAGCATAGCTCCTAGGGGAGAACCTAATCACTAATCCAATGAAATACCAATACATCTGAAATATTATTGATACATTCTTTGGGAACTCTTTTGTGACCCCATGGTCTGTAGCCCGCCAGGCTCCACTGTCCATGGGATTTCCCAAAAGTCAGACTAAACAACAACAAAAATCGATGCATTCTTATGTAAATGTGCCATTAGGGATAATGTGATCTCTCAAACTTTGGTGATCTACCAAAACCCAGGGCATCTCAGTTCCTCTGCACTCCTACCCAGTTCTAAACAGGACCAATTGATTTTTTCCACTCAAAGGGAAAGCCCTCAAAGGGTGAGCTGGGCGGCGAGGAGAGCGCATTTCTGTGCTCCCCCTTCTATGCATTTCTTGAAATAAATGGCGAGGGCCTTGGCTTAGGAAGCCCGTCCTCGACTGACTGAGGAAAGTTTGTATGGGTCAGAGGAGGGACTGCCTGGAAAAATAACCCATCTCTTCTTGGAGTCCGCCACGAATCTCGATGGGTTGACCGCGAGGAGCAACTCTGGTTTTCTGTTCCGCTGAAGAGGGCCCCTCACCCGTGGCAGGTGCTGGGCGCCGGCGCTGCCCTCTCCTCCCTCGGCGGTTCCCAGATACTGCGGAGCAGGCGCAGAGAGAGGACGCAAGAGCGTCTCCAGGGATACAGAGGGGGCGGGACGGGACGGAAGGGGGCGGGGATAGGCTAACCTGAGGTTCTGGATTGGTGCAACTTCCACTCTCCCCGGACTCGGGGGCGGAGCCTTGTAGGGGCGGGGCCTAGTTTGCGCAGTGCTGGGGACATCTACACCGGGCAGCTTTTTCTCACCAGACGGCTCTCAGTAGTTAGACAGCTTTCGAAAATTAATTCACCTTATCCAAGAGGCCTCTAATTTGCCGCCCTGAATCATTTCCCTCACGGCACTGCATTCTCAATATTTTACAACATTGCCCTGTCGTCCACACATTGATGCTTAACGCTCAGCTTGGCGTTCAAGACTTATCCAGCTGGATAAATCGTTCATTCTCAGCTTCCTCAGCCTCTGTTGCTCTCAGAACCATCTTTTTCATGTCCCACGCAAACACCTTTCCCAATCCTGTCTTCAGAAAGAGAATACAACTTTGAGTGGTGATGAGCTAAAAAAAACTCAAGGTCTCTTTCATATATTCTCCCTGCGTCCTGTCTTTAAATATATATTTTAAAACTTCCTCTGAAACTCGGGATTTTATATTTACACCCACTTAATGTCAGCCACTTAATAGCAGTCCAAGGTTCCACCCCTTCTCTCACATGTAAATATAAGGAAGTGAACTTCCTGGTTCATTGTCTCATACACATAGAAGGCAAGACAGTGAAGCTTGTTGCTTATTACTCCCCAAACATAGATGTGCTGGAAAGCTAAGCTTTTATTCATTGGCTACTGTCACGCACTGTAAGAAAGTGAGTCAGCTGTACTGCTCACACCGTTCTATTAATCAGAAATCGATTCTATCTGGACTACAAGCATAACAACCATAGCCACACTTTCATTCCAACATCTAATTTGCTGCAATAAATTACCAAATTACTTCCACCAAGTAAATTTACATTATATTGAATACATCCAATCGATCACTATGACTACTGGTGACTGGGCTCCATGGGACCCTCGCATTCTGTTATCATGAACTCATTTCTCGGCTTCCAGAAACATTTTAACACAGCTCCACAGGTGACTGTGTGAATTCTGTTCAAGTTCTTCCTGCCTTTTGAGCTTTGAGTTATGTGAATTCCAGACACCTTCCTTCCAGCATGAGGCTCTCCCAGTGTGGCTTTCTAGGAGGTTCCTCCAGCCTCTATGGATTTATTCCTCCTGTTTGCTGTTTTTCACTGGCAGTTCTTTCTCTTTCTCTTTCTCCACTCCTTAGCCCAAGAGTTCATAGAGCTAAGGAGCTCAGAGAATGTTATTTGTAAGAGACAGAATCCTGGCTCAAACTGATTTAAGCAAAAATGGAAACATTGTTTTCTGCAATATAAAGATGCCAGCTTCAGGTGTAACTGTATCTAGAGACAGTATCTGAAAACTTTGAGGACTCTACAACAGCCTCACAGAATTAAACTCTCTTTCTCTCTCTCTCAAGTCCTTCCCCTTAGACCTACTTTCATAACTAAAAGTATTACTTTGCATGAGTTGGCTTAGTCACTAAGTTGTGTCCAACTCTTGCGACCCCATGGGAACTGCAGCCCCAGGCTCCTCTGTCCATGGGATTTCCCAGGCAAGAATCCTGGAATGGGTTGCCATTTCCTTCTTCGGGGAATCTTCCTGACCCAGAGATCAAACCCAAGTCTCCTGCACTGCAGATGGTCTCCCGCATTGCAGGTAGGTTCTTTACCAACTGAGCTACCAGGGAAGCCCCTTACTTTGCGTGGTGCTTGGTTTATATGAGTAAATTTCCACTGAAAGATTGGGATCTCTTTAAGAGCAAAGAGCTCTTATTTTTGTCTTACTTTTCCCTGAATTCCCAGGAATGGTACTGGAGTTCACATATAATATGTGTTCAAAAGTATTTTTTAAATCAATTGAATGAGTAACAGAATAAACAGAGGTGCCTGGAACTGATCTTCCATATTTAATTCCTCTCATTACTTCCTCTGCCTTCCCCACCTAGAATTGGGAATAATGCCATAGTCTTTCCAACAAGATGAATGCATGGTTTCTTGCCACACCCTGTTGGCAAGAACTTTATCACACATTGTCACCTTTAGCTTCAAGAGCAGCTGGAAAATATGATCTTTATTTTGAGTAGTCACATGAATGCTAAAAATCAAGATCTTCAATGATGGAAATTAGAAAATAAGGGGGGGATTCAGCATCAGTGCTAAAGACATTGATTCAAATTTAAGAGAGAAGGACTGTATCTCTGGTATAAGTTTCCTTCCTGGTTTGAATAGGACTGATCTCCAACTTTCTTCCTTAACTGAGAGTCTCCATAGCTGTGGATGAGGTGGGCAAGCTACATCTCCTTGAGTTTAAGGATGAGAACTTAGAGAATCAGGGCTCAGGCTGTGTCCTCTATACCAGAAGAACAAGGAATCCACCTGGAGCCAAAACTTCCTTGAAATTTCACTGAAAGTCTTTATTAAATGTGCCATGGTTTAAAGGGTGCCTTCCCGCTCTCTGCCTGGCGGGGAGGGGGGGGGTTACCCAGGGTGTTGAGCAGTTAGACTGTATCATGTTCAGAGTTTTCCCCTTATTTTCAGCCCCGCGTCTCCTACTCTTCTTTCCCTGTAGATGCTGGGCAGTGATACTGGGCTTTGTTAGATTATCCTCAGCCACTCGAGTGCTGTGGTTGTCTTTAGTGTCTTACCTTTCACTCTGCTCCCTTCCACTGTGTATCTTCTGACAGTTTTAAAAATCCCTCATCCACTGACAGTTCCCACCCTGTTTTATCACTATTATCAATATTATTGTTTTAGTTACTTAAACATTTTTATTAAGACAGATAAATATATGTGCTGTTTGTCATCCTCTGAACCTTTCTGAGGAATGGAATACTAAATTAGGACAAAGGGAAAATTAATGGGTATAACATAGAGAAAGAGAAAATAGAGAACAAGTATAAAAAGTGGTGAAAAGTGACAGGGGAGGCCTTGATGAACTCATAATAGCCAAGTCACAAACCATCTGTCTTAAATTTGTAGTAGAAAAATGAACTAAAATAATTTTCTAAAAATCTGAATCAAATTAATTTACTTGTATGTGGGTTGGTTGTTATGAATCCTCTGACATACACTGTCATTTGTGTGCATCCTCTACAAGAGCTTTTGTGTACAACCAAAAATTTGCATGTGGGTTGGCTGTTATTGCATCTTTTTCTTATTTCTGAAAATGTGTCTTAAGAAAATGTCAACTTTCCATTAGACACAGTCCAGGGGGCAGTTTTACCTATTCTATTCTCCTCTAGCCAAGACAGCAGAATATGACATAAGCAAGGCCAGTTTCCGGCTTTTTAGAACATTGTTGCAGTTTCTACTTTCTTAGTCAGAATCTGCATTGATTCTTGCCAGTTTCCAGCCCTGGTTTTTCAGATTCCTGTCCATTGCCTTTTGTTCAATTTACAGTAAATTTTCATTAAAATAAGTCCCCTACATACAAATGAGTTTCTTTCCGAGAGTACGTTCGTAAGTCCAATTTGTTCCTAGGTCCAACAAAGTTAGCCTAGGTGCCCAACTAACAAGATCAGCTATATAGAATTGTACTATAGTAGGAGACTTCCCTTTCACTTTTCACTTTCATGCATTGGAGAAGGCAATGGCAACCCACTCCAGCGTTCTTGCCTGCAGAATCCCAGGGACGGCGGAGCCTGGTGGGCCGCCGTCTATGGAGTCGCACAGAGTCAGACACGACTGAAGCGACTTAGCAGCAGCAGCAGCAGGTTTATAATACTTTTCACACAAATGATACATAAAAAACAAACGTACACACACAAGAAAGAAAACATTATTAATCCTACAGTGTGTGTGTTAGTCACTCAGTTGAGTCCGACTCTTTGTAAGCCCATGGACTCCTCCTTCCATGGGATTTTCCAGGCAAGAATATTGCAATGGGTTGCCATTTCCTTCTCCAAGGGATCTTCCCAATCCAGGGATCAAACCTGGGTCTCCTGCATTGCAGGAAGATTCTTCCTTGTCTGAGCCACCAAGGAACCTTGCAGTACAGTTCAATAGCTGGCATCTATTACCAGTACCAGCAACATCACTGTTGCTTTTACACTTGCTTCTGGACTTCCTGGGCTTGAAATAAAGATAGTGTACTACTGTATTCTATAAAGTACTGTGCAGTTAAGTACACCAAAGCACAACCACATGTAGATGATACACACATGTGACAATGTATGTGGACACGTGAACTAACTTATGTGACTAGACATGCGAACATACATTCACATCTTTGAAAGTTCAAATCTTGAAGGTTCGTATGTAGGGGACTAACTGTGCAGTAAAATTCTATTCATTGAGATTGAATTCTAACTGATGTAAATATTGGTACTAGTGGCTGGACAGTGGGAAATGGTCTTCAGGAAAATGTAAGATTCTTGGGATTGGCCACCTACATAAATGCGAAAAGTAATGAGGCTTTAGTTCAAAGTTTTGTAAGGAAGCAGCAAGCTGTGACAACTTTTGCAAAACAGTAATTATCAACTGAGATTACTTGTAATCAGTGTTCACTGAGGGTGAAACTTCAACAGATAATGGAGCTACCACCAAAGGGCCTCATGAGAAAATGAGGAATTCAGGCATTTGAGGATGAGTGCCTGCTTCTGAAGACACACTTCCCAGGTGGTGCTAGTGGTTAAATACAAACAAACAAAACCTGCCTGCCAATACAGGAGACATAAGAGACACCAGTTCAATCCCTGTGTTAGAAAGATCCCCTGGAGGAGGGCATGGCAACCCACTCCAGTATTCTTGCCTGGAGAATCTCATGGACAGAGGAGCCTGGCGGGCTACAGTCCATTGGCTCACACAGAGTTGGACACGACTGACGTGACTTAGCACACACACAGGTACTTCTGTAACAGCTGTTGAAACCCTACATGGATATGTGGAAGGCATGGCCAGAAAAACATGTATATATTCAAACAAGAGAATGACTAATTCAAAATAGTAAGTTC